CCACCCCCACACCACACCCCCCTTCCAAGAGCAGGAGAGAAATAACGCATTATATTTGACGGGATAATGATGGAGAATCATTGAGTAATTTTTAGAGAGTTAAAGTATTAAGTTAATGTTTAAGTAAAGTTAAATGAAAAAGGTAAAAAAAAAATAAATGAAAACAAAAAAAGAATATTGAAAGTAAGGTTGTAGTATTACGTAAGTTCGAGTGTTTTTGCGTCGGCCATTTTGGATGGTGTCGCACGCCGACATCTTGTTATTAAATTGTAAGCGCATTTAACTTGTACGATTGAATGTCTAGTCATGGCCTCTTGAAGTAACATATTTATTATTAATGGTAAAATAAAACTGGGAGAAAATGTGGGAAAAAAAATAATATATATAAAACATACCTTTGCTACTTTGTATTTGCGTCTAATAATGGAACGTGTCATTCGTTCTATTTAGTAGGGAGATAATGAGAGGTATAATGATTGAAGAAGAATCAGGTAACGGCGTGAGGTCATCCCAATGATTAGTTATTAGTTATCGATGGATTATTATTGGCACAGGGGCTGAACGTGGGCGGAGAATTTTGAAGAAAAAAAAAACAAATTTATATATTTATTACTATTATTGCCTTTCTTAAATTGCCATGATTATTGAATGAATATCACTATTATATTATTATTAATATTGTCGAATTTTTTTCGTTTATTGAAAACTGGGAACAGTGGGAGAACCGCCAAATATCATTGTGAAGTATTTTTTTATTTTTTTGTCATCGATTGATTATTGAATTATTGTGAATAATTATTACGATTTTATCAGTGGCACGAAAGTCGATATTATTGAACATTTTTTAAATAAAAAAATACTATTTATTATACTCAGCACGTCATTACCAGTCATGCAATTATTTATTAAGTTATTGCTTCTATGATCATTATAATCTGTAAAACAACCTTACTCATATCCAAACTTGATTAAAATAATAATACACCACTGTGTATTATTCTGTATAAATATTAAGAAGTTGAAGTGCAGGAAATCAACAATTATTCAAGTCGAATGATTTTAAATTTGATTAAACGGGGAAGAATGGGGCTGCGTTGTTTGACCATTTTTGAATAGTTAGGGGAATCCCGGGTCCCCTAACCTCGATTTATAACTTATAAATCGATGTGCACTTGGGGTGTCGGGGGACCCCGGATGTTTGGATTGAGATATATGTATTTTTTTAAATTTTGAAAAGATGAAAAAAAAAATGGATAAAAATCATAAAAAAATGAATAAATGGAATTTGAATTAAATAAACCTGGGAACAGAACTATTTGTAGGTTATCTAATGTATTTACCGTGTACCGACGCCACTGTTTCAGCGCCATGTCACGTTGTGCTCGACGGTTTTTTAATTAGGGGTGGGAGGGTTGATGAAGGGGTGGATCTGTTGAAGAATGTAGGTGGAGATGAGGAATGCGGTACACTGAGAGAAAAATATAGTATAATCTTTTGATAAATTCACTGCAATTTACATTTTATAATTTCTATTTTCAATATGTTCTCTCAAACAAATTTATTCAATTGAATATTTAGTAGTTTTAGTTTAGCAGTTCTATTCATTAATTTCATTAGCTAAATATTCAAAACAATTTCTCTTTTTTACACTAGATTTTTTTCGCAGTGTAAAAATGGAGGGAGTGCAGTCCTGATAGGTCAGGGCAATTCCCCAGGGGTAAAGGGGGTGGTTAGGGTGGAAATTATTTCGTGAATAATCCAGAATCAAAGGGCGATTTTTCCATTCACCAATTTTAGGCCCTTCATTTATTCAACTTCTTCGGAATCGATGGATGGGGGAGGAGCCACTCACGTGACTCATGAATTTCTCTCTATTTTATTCTACCCCCTTGGGGTGGAAAAAAAGTGGGAAATAAATAAGTAACGACGTGAGTGTGGAAAAATACTGTAATGGCAGTAATAATGTGGGAGTGGGTGGAGTAATGGGGTGAATAAACCTGTACCTATATTTCGTGATACAATAAATGATTGAGAATGCAAAAATGAGTAATGAAAAATACAAATGTATACCCAGACAAAAAAAAAACGTTGTTGTTGGTTAGATGATGTGAAAAAAGGGCTGATATTCCAATAGATTTTTCCGTGTTATATTGTATAGTGTTATTGTACTCGTTATGTATTAGCAATGAGAGGTGTTTCTCGTCTGTCGATAAGTAATAATGTAATCATTACTTGGAGGGGTGGAAGAGCGGGAGAAGTTGAATTGTGAATGGAAAAATCGGTATTATCGGAAAAATTGGGGCTTCATTTCCGGTAAATTTACGATTGGAATTCATTTAATTATTTATCTCGGGGGGGCTCGAGAGCACGACGTGTCGCGTAATTAAAAAATGATTAAGTATTCATGTCAATTACTCCAGGGAACATCCACAGTATCAAAGAACCATTGAATTGCCGACGGTAGTTTTATGCCATGAATTCGCGATTCTTTTGTTAACGCTTTTCAAAAAAATAAAAAATACCTAAAAAAATATGATAACGCTACTCTTGTAACGATTTCCTTCCACCATTTTCACGTTTTAAATCGGAATATTAAACAGTGTGAGGGACGGGGGGGAGGGGGAAAGGGGGAGGGGTGACCGATAAATGATGCACTTGTGATGCACTTACTTCTTCGGATTATTCGACACGTTTTTTCTGTCGTGCTGAAGTGAATTTCCTGCCAGGATTTTTACTGGATGTGGCTACCCCGGGAGCTAGTGGAAATGTGCGTTTTCAATCAGACGTTACGTTTCCCAGTGACGGGACAAATACCAATGGTGAATTCCCCACATGGAATTCTAATCGGGAGTTAAATTAAGTCTCGATAACGAGAACAATTGGCTCACTCCACTGTTAGAAATTTTCCTAGAATTTCATTGATACTATCAGATTGATTTTAAATCACTTAAAAACCGAAAAATTGTCCCGCCAATTCAGAATTCGTCAATTTTCCGGATTTAATGTTGTATAATTTTCTGTTAAATTTCCACTCGTTTTATTGAATGTTTTTTTTTTAATTTAATTTCCTTTCATTCCAGCTGTTGGAATTTTTTTAATGGGATTACGATTTGAGTTTAATTGATGGAGTAAATTTTCAAGAGGAATTTTCTAACAGTGAATTCAGCTATATTTTATCGATTGTAAGTGTAAGGATTATTCTACTGTATTAACTAGAGTGTTTGTACGTATTTTTTCATTGACTGCGTTTTGCTCATGTTGGTGACAAATTGACGGAGGTTACGCGTTGTTGAATTGAGTGTCGGGGGCGTGCGATGGAAATTGCTTTCTTGAGTTAACAGGTACGACGAAAAATAATTATTTTCATCCGGAATTCAAATAAACAGGGGGTGGCATTGTCAAATCGGCTGAACAAGAAAATACATGCATTTACACTGGAGAATACATATTGCGCACGCACTCATTGTTACGCAACGGACTGTGATCTTCGCAATCGCTTCTTACAACCCTCCGAAAAAAAAAAACATTCCGAGATTGGCGAATGGAATAATTAACACACAGAGAGAAATCATCAGTGA